AGGATCTTTTAGTAGTCTACATATGCGTTTCAAGAACTAGCTGGAGTTGAAGTGTGCGTACAATCATTGTTCGTACGCTGTGATCGTCCTCACTCGCCTCAGGAATGTCGTGCTCGTCGCGTTCGTATCGGACACCTCCCTCGGCCTGAAATTCGAAATGCTGGCTCAAAGGCAGTGGGTACGATGGCTGGGGGCGGGCACTTACTGCCAACGTCATTGGTGGAAGGCTGAGAGAAAGCATTCAGCCACGACCCACTCAGCCCTTCCACCAGTGACGTTGGCAGTAACCGCCCGCCACCAGCCATTATGTCCACTGCCTTCAAGAACCCTTTTTAGATAGGACGCTAAGGCAATTTATGTGAAGGGACCACTTAGTGGAGCTCAAAGGCCGCGTTTTTTCTGACTCATGGTTTCGTGCATATCTCTAGGCCACACGACTCCGCCCATATGGTCACCGCAGACTGTGCGTTGAACTACACATTCTGAGTGAAAGTATAAGGGACTACTTTCAAGTGGGGAAGTACTTTACCGAATATCATTCCAATTCCTCGAATAATGGGTGGTACTGTATAAAGAATAAGAGCGTCCTCTTGCCAAATTATTATGAGGCACGTTTTTTACCTGCAACATCGTTCCGTACATTTGTACTGGCCGTACACCTTCGCCATTGATCGCCGTTCGTACCATCTCAGTCTTTTCTGGAAATATCGATTTCTTGAGGTCTAGGAAGACTCGACTGTCTGTCCGTGATCCTCTCTCATACCCTGAATCTTCTTTTTCCTGTTACGTCGTTGGAGATAACAAAGAAGAAGACAATTAAACAGCAGTAGAAGAGTTCCTCCGATGGCGAGCAGCATAATCACTGGCCGAGGAATCGATTCCTTCTGAAAACCCATGGTGAAAGTGAATGAATTCCAATTTTCAATCCCCTCAAAGAAACTGACCCTGCCGGACATCACAGCGACACCCATACCGTCTTCACGTAAAGTCGCGAAGGCTGCCGGCGGTCGGGTCAAATCAGAAGAGAATCCTCGGCTATTGATAGATCGCAGTTGAAATAGATATATAGAAGATGGTGCTAGCCCAGACAACCGAAGATTCTAAAAAGGTACTATTACTGTGACATCGAGTGCTACTATGACTTGCATTATTGTACTGCTCAAGTAAAGAACGAACTGAATGTGAAGTGTTGACGCCATGCATTCCTTCTTCACCATCCTTCTGATATCTGACTTCAAATGTCTGGTCAGAACCGCCATCAAAACCGGGTGTCCATGATATCGAAATCGTATTCGAAGTTGCATTTGTAACGTGAATATCGAGCGGGGCATCCGGTGGAGAGGGTGGTCCAATCTGAAGAACGAAAAATCTTTCGAAGGATCCTGTGATTATAACATATAATATATCTCTGTGTCTCTAAGCATTGTTTCCTGCAGACGATGGGGTGCATCAGTTGGCTCGATTCACTGCATCTTCCGCCAGGATGTCGGCTGTAGCGGATAGCATGCAGAGTTCGAGATTCCGGCGCGCTGAGACGCGCGTCATACCGCGTCGTCGCTCCACCAATGCAATAGGGCTCGAATATTGGAGACGGGAATGCAGCCGTATAGCAGCATCGATTG